GTCACATGGAGAGGGTGGCTCAGCTGGAAAAGCAGACATGGCCTCACATGGGCTGATGCTAAATGAAAAACCCACCTGCCCCATGGAAAGGAGCTCAATTAAATGACATGGAAAAAAAGTACACATCTCTTTGAATTCAGATGCCCAGGGATATTCTAGGCCATGCATCCTTGCTTCATTCATAGATAGATAGATAGATAGATAGATAGATAGATAGATAGATAGATAGATAGATAACATGAGATTAATTCTTGAACTATACAAGATAAAGAAATCCAAGTTTCAGATTGCAGACATAGGAACAGCATTTTGATATCATCTTAAATATACAGAGGGTCAAGTTGGAGGTGGGGTTGGATGTTTTGTAGTACTCTAGGGAGAGATGGCTAATCATTGTCAGAATTGCAACCAGCAGGAGAGGAAAGTTAACTCTTAGCATGGCTCAGAAAAAAAAATTCTCTGATGTTAATGTTCATTTTAAAGAAAATCCCTCACTGATGCCAAGTAAATGCCAGTTTCAGAGAAGGATTTTTTTTTAGAATGCAGAAAGATATATCAGGTTCTCCTTCTTACTATTTACAAACTCCATACTTAACAGTTGACCTGATATTTTCACCAATTTTATACCATTTGCAGGACAAAGTATAATTTGCATGAGAAGCATAAACAGCAACAAAGATGGCACAAGTTGCTTGCACATTATTTTCCCATGCTACCATGTCACCCACATGCCCCTTGCATTCAAACCAAATTTCCTGTGAATTATATTGCATTTCCCAAGATTGCATTTCTCCCTCCTTCACTTTTAAACCTATCCCCTAATCTTCACTAACCAGGGTAACTCTGGATTGGCATCATTACATGAAATTCTCCTCTCCCCCATCATGGTCCTCACAGTCAGAGCACCCTCTAATCCTCTGAGCCCCTGTCTTACTTACTGTGGTTAGTGCCATAATCTGTATGGCACACGCAAAGGTAACTGCCACCATATTCCATACAATAACCCCCATCAGGGCACTGGGTGTTCATATTACAAGGTGTAGTAGTCACTTCTGCAGTGGGAAAAGAGCACATACAGGGTGATTTGCTATTACACAGCTGAGTGCTCTACAGATGAGCTTTATAATGATGAGGAATGTTACCCATTATATAGTCAGCAGGATCAATTATTCAGCTGACAGAAAAGTTTCTAGTTTACTTACAAAGTAAGAAGATATAGGACACACAAAAGAAGGAACAGTGCTGTGTGGTATAAGCCTGTCTTCCCTAAACTAACACATCAGCCTGGTCAGACTTGATGTGATCTGTTGTCCAAAAGAATTGGAGGGTATCAGTTACAGATACAGATTCAGATCATTACTAGTGCCCAACAAAAATCTAGACTGTTAGCTTGGTTCTTGGTACTTTCAGCAATCGTATACCTGGAAGAAGCTCTGTAGGAATCAAAATGTTGGTTGGCCAGTTATATAAAAACAGTTTATCTGCCCATGTTCACAAAATGGAAATGTCAGTCATAATTTTAGGCAAAACAGCTAAGAAGCTGTGGCGAACAGCTGAGGTGGGATCAACATGAAGACATGTAAGATCATTAAAAAAAGCAAATAATAGAAATTAAATAGGCAACTAGTATACTAGCTCTCAGATCCTGTGCAGTCTTGTTGTTTGAGTGGTGAAGTATTGAAGAGCCATAGTCCCAATCCTAATTCATCAATGAAGAAAATTAGGTGACCTCGAACCAGGCCATCCATAGTCAAATCCACTATGGATATATGGATAAAATACAAGTGTGTATGCATGTTTCTGTGTAGAGAAATCATGCATGCTGTCTTGTATGCCATAGTAGGAAGTTAAGAATATAAATGTAATTAATCACAAAGATAATTTCAGGCCAATCTGAATGAATGAATATATATATATATATATATATAGAGAGAGAGAGAGAGA